TGATATATACATACTGTTTTAGGTGATCATTGGCAAGGGCCACTCTATCTCTGTGGCATTTTGCTGCCTTTTCTTGTTCTTCTTTAAGAGCTTTTTCAGCAGTGAGTTTCATTTGCTCCTCCCACTTGTTATCGGATTTTATTTTACTCTTTTGGAATTCAATCTGGGCATCACGTTCTTTCATAACTCTACTAAGAAGAAGTCCTGACTTAAAATAAAAATAAAAAAGGAGTACTTTAAGAAAATACAGATTAATTACGTATACTTATTTTGAAATCTATGTAAAAGGACAATAATAAAACCCAAGTAGTACATGAAAGCTTTTCACTCTCTCTGTCTGATAAAACTGATATTGCCGTGCGTTTTCAATGGCCTTTTTTCTTTCTCCTTGCTTATGTATTTCTTCTTCCATATCAAGCAATTGTCTTTCTGCCTCTACTTCTTCATCACGTTTCTTTTTGGCTTCAAGTTTCTGTTCTTTCATGCCCTATAAAACAAACAAGAGCAACCCTGTATTTTCATTCTCCAATTCAATGTAACCAAAGTGAAACATTATGTGATCATTTGAGCTTTCATTATGAACTGCTACTGTATATATTTGCATATATCATTAATAAAAAATATAAAGCTATATTTATAAGCTAATGTTTTTCAAATTCAATTTTTTAGCTTGCTAATATATTTACATAGCTCAAAAATCCCAAAATGTTGCAGAGGTATACAGTGAAATCTCTTACTCCAACCCTAACTTCCATATGCAATTTCCTCTCACTCCAAAGTAACCACTATTATTACTTTCAAATTTCCATTCTATACAAACATGATAATTATACATTTTGTTTGTTTAAAAGACCAACAAGTAGCATTTTTTACATGCCCCAAGCCTAGGAAGTCTTTCCACACTTTCTTTTCCCATATGGGTCAATTTTCCACATCTTTCTTGTTTAAAAAATCTGTCACTTACTAACTGCCATCGAGTTGATTTCCACTCAAAGAGACCCTGTATAGGGTTCCCAAGGCTGCGAATATTTACAGAAGCAGAAAGCCTCATCTTTCTTCCACTCAGCGACTGGTGAGTTTGAACTGACAATCTTGCAGTTAGCAGTCCAGTGCTTATCCTACAGCATCACCAGGGAGAAGAAATACTTCCTTACTATGATACTAATGATATTCTTGTAGAATTTGTTTAAAAAGTTTCATTGTTTTACTTTTTATAGTTAAGTCTTTAATCCAACTGAATGTCTGTGTTGTCTATACTGTAGAGATATTATTTCATCTTTTAAATATGAATATTCAATTATCCCAATATCTGTTATTGAATGTTCCCTTCTGATTTGCAATATTTCTGTAATATCTTAAGTTCCCATATAAAAAGGTTTGTTTCTAGTCTCTTCTGATCAATGATTTTGTCTGTCTCTGTCCTTCTACCATGGTTCTAACTACTGTGTAGGTTTATAATAGCTTTTGCTGCTGGTAAAATGAATCTTCCTTTTTTATTATTATTACTATTAAACACCCATGGAAATTAGAGCAATATGCATAGTAAAAATATGTACATTTTGTGCAAAGTGCATACCTACATAAATAACATGCACATCCATGTAACATGTAGAAATGATGAAATTATGTTAAAAAGTATGGTGTGCTCATGTGTATATTTCATGATATTTCCAGAAGTGAAACTCAGCTTCATTCACCTTCAATAGTCCAAAAAAATGTTACTTTTGATCATATTTGTATAATAATTATATAAGCCATGGTCTGAAAGTCACAGATGGAGTTTGGTGTTGTTATTATTGTTAGGTGCTGTTGAGTCAGTTCTAACTCATAATGATCCTATGTACAAAAGAACAAAATACTGCTGACCCTGCAACATCCTCACAATCAATGTTTGAGCCCACTGTAGTGGCCACTGTGTCAATCCATCTCTCTTTGGGGGTCTTCCTGTTTTTCGCTGACCCTCTACTTTACCAAGCATGATATCCTTCTTCAGGGACTGGTCCCTCCTGATGACATATCCAAAGTACATGAGACAAAGTCTGCTATCCTTCCTGCTAAGGAACATTCTAGATGTACCTTTTCAGATTTGTTCATTCTTCTGTCATATTTAATATTTTATGCCAACACTATAATTCAAAGGTTGAGACTTGGCGCTGAATATCGACTGTATCCATGCCCATCGTTCAGTGTCAGATTTCGGAAGCCATTCTTCCTTATTCATAGTCCAGTTTTCACATGGATATGAAGTGATTGAAGTTACCATGGCTTACATCAGGTGTCCCTTAGTCCTCAAAGTGACATCTTTTCAATACTTTAAAAAAGTCTTTTGCAGCAGATTTGCCCAATGCAATACATTCTATGATTTCTTAACTGCTGTTCCATGAGCACTGATTGTGCATCCAAATTAAATGAAATCCTTGACAACACCAATATTTTTCTCCAGTTACCATGATGTTGTTTATTGACACAGTTGTGAGGATTTGGGGTCTATGTTGAGGTGTAACCCACACTGAAAACTGTAGTCTTTGTTCTTCATCAGTAGGTACTTCAAGTCCTCTTTTCTTTCAGCAAGCAAGATTGGTCATCAGCATATTTCATCAACATAGTTAATGAGTCGTCCTCCAATCTTAATGCCATGTTGTTTGTCATATAGTCAAGTTTCTCAGATTATTTACTCAGCATACAGATTGAATAAGTATGGTGAAAGGGTACAACTCTGATGCACACCTTTCCTGATTTTAAACCACACAGTATCTTCTTGTTCTATTAGAATGACTGCCTCGTGGTTTGTATACAGGTTCCACATGAGCACAACTAAGTTTTTTTGAACTCCCATTTTTTAACATTATTCATAATTTACTATAAATTTATTATAATTTGTACTTTGGTTCTTATAGACTTGTTTTAATTTTCTTCAGCTTCATCTTGACCTCTGACATGAGCAACTGAGGGTCTGTTCCACACTCTGTCACTGGCTTTGTTCTGACTGAAGACACTGTGGTTCTCCATCATCTCATTCCACAGATGTCACCGATTTGATTCTGAGTATTCATCTGGCAAGGTCCACATGTACAGTCACTATTGATGTTGCTGAAATTTTTTCTAGAGCTGTTCCTTCTTGTTTCCAACTTTAGCATTTCAATCACCAGTAATTATTAATGCATCTTGACTACATGTTTGATAATTTTTAGACTGCAGAGAGTTAAAGACCCTCAACTTCCTCATTTTTGGCATTAGTGATTGGTGAGTAAATTTGAATATTCATATTAACTGATCTTCCTTGTAAGCATATGGATATTATCCTGTCACAGGCAGCATAGAAAGATCTTAAAATGTTCTTTTTGATGATGAATATGATGCCATTTCTCTTCAATGTGTCATTTGGGGTATAGTAAACCATAAGACTGTCTGATTCAAAATGGCCAATTACAGTTTATTTCAACTCACTAATACCTAGTCTGTGTGTGTGTATATATATATATATGTATCTTTCAGTGTTCCATTCCATTTTTGATGATTTCCAATTTTCCTAGATTCATACTTCATACATCCCACAGTCCAATTCCAGCTATTTCTTCTCATTTTGAGTTATGGCCCATTTACAAATGAAGGTCACAAAAGCTTTGCTCCAGCCACATCATTAATGTTGACTATTTTGAGGAGACAGCTCTTCCCCAGTCATATTTTGAGTGCCTTCCAACCTGAGGGGTTCATCTGGCACCATATCAATGTCCTTGCTGCTATTAATAAAGTTTTCTGTGACTCACTTTTCGGGAAGTGGACTACCTCCTTCCTTCTTCCTAGTCTGTCTTAATCTGGAAGCTCCACTAAAAACCTGCCCACCATGGTGACCCTGCTGGTATTTGAATTATCAGTGGAATAGCTTCCAGCATCACAGTAACATGCAAGTCATCACAATATAACAAACTCACAGACAAGCGCTGGGTAAGAGGGAATAGGACCAGTAATCTCATAGAGGTGGCAAAAGTACTTGTCCCATCAGCCAGACAGAAAACTTCATGATTTGAAATTATGTAGATTGTTGAACATAGTCATGCCTCAGTGTTGTTTTTGCTATTGTTAAGTGCCATCAAGTCGGTTCTGACTCATGGTGAGTTTGAAACACCAACCGTGCATTACAAATCAACCTTGCAGTACTTATCCTATAGTGCCACACCTGTACTAACCATGCCTCAATAGTAGGTAATAATGAGTCCAGATCATACATTGCTCTGGTCTGACCTAATCAATATTACAAACTAGGGTCTATTTCCAAGAACTGTTTCCAAGGTATTTAATGGTGATAATCATATATAAGGATATGACTACATCAGCCATCTAGCCAGGTAAAACACACAATGACATCCAATAAAAAGTACTAGGTGTCTTAGTTACCAAGTGCTGCTAAAACAGAAATGCCAACAGTAGATGGCATTAACAAATAGAATTTTATTCTCCCACAGAGCTGAAAGCTAGAAGTCTGAATTCGGAGTTGAGCTCTGGAGAAAGGTCCTTGTTGCCTTTCAGCATCTGTAAGTCCTTGGAGACCACCACGTATTTTAGTAAACCTTTCCTTGGTTCTAGGAGCTTTACAGTGCACCAACCCAAGGTCCGTAGGATGCACTTGATTCCTGACTCTCCTTTCTTGGTGGTAGTACACATCCCTCTTTCTCTGCTCACTTTTCTCTCCTTTTAGAGCTCAAGAGATTAGCTCAAGATACAACGTAATCCTTTAGACTGCATCTGACCTCACTAACATGTTGTTGTTGTTGTTAAGTGCCATCAAGTTGGTTCCAACCCACAGCGACCCTGTATAGGATTTCCGAGGAGCGGCTGGTGAGCTTGAATCACCAACAATGCAGTCCAGTGCATTAGCCCACAGTGCCACACCAGGACTCTTATTAACTCTTATTAACATCACAGAAGTGAAGATTTATAACACACTAGACAATTACATCAGACCTGGACTGAACATATCAGATCGTATTATGGAGTTGATTTTATTATATTAGATCTCATCATGGATGTCAAAACTACATCTTAACTACTACACCACTGAGAATCTGGGACAAGCCAAGTTGACACAAAACCTTAACACAGAAATCAACCCAGGAATGCGAAGGAGCAGGAAAATTCAGCTTATCATGAGAAAAATAATCAAAATCACCAAAACCAGCACCCGTGTTAGAATTAGTACATAAGAAAATGAAAATAGTCTATATTTGCAAAAGTAGGAAATATTAACTATATTCTATATTTGCAAAAGTAGGAAATATTAACATGTTAAGTAAAGACATGGGGAAAAAAATCTACAAGTGCAGTGAATTATTTAGTGTCTGTTCTAGCTATAGCCTTTGTAAACTCCCACCAATCAACTTTTTCTTCATGGGTCTGAGTAAGAAAAGGTGGGGGAAGAAGTCAATGGATTATATGATTCGGTGGAGAGTTCTTGTTAACAGGATAGTTGTGATTGCTCAATTTTGCCATTCTGCTGGCTATAAAATGAGCTATCTCAGAAACAGCAGGGAGGGGGATCATACTACCAACACGGAAGAGTTAGGCATGGAATCTGTCCTTTGGGCCCCAAGAAGCCTGTGAATTGAACCTTTCTGTCCCAGAGACAGAAAGCTGTGACATCAGAATAGCAGTAGAGGAGCTGCAGAGCCGAGAGCCAGAGCACGAGACAGAACAGTGGGCTTCCCAGTTCACGGAGCAAGTAAAGCTGAGTGAATGTGAACAGGAAGCTTGCTTGTGGAGTAGAGAGTCTCCAGTTACTTAGGTGAGCTAGCTTTGCTGTTCCACAGAGCTAGAGCTGATTGCCTTCAGATTGAGGCTTGCAGTGGAAAGGTGTGCCCTCTAAGTATTTATCAGCAGTCCTCACAGAGCTTTGTAACCTTGCCTGGGCAGACTGACAATGGGTACAGCAAAGGGAAGGCTAACCTGATGGGAAGAACTGTGTCCTGAGCATTTCTGAGACTGAATTGTAACCTGTCAATTTCCCTAATAAACCCTGTAACTTAGTACGGTGTCTAAATTCGGTGTGGTCACTGCAATGAATAACTGAACCCAGGAAAGTAGAGTGCTATGGGAGGGATGGTTGGTGACATTTTTTCCATAGCTACATAAAACTTCCAGAGATAGAAACTACAATGTTTGAAATGAAAAATACACTTAATGGGATTAATATCACATTAGATATAGTCAGATAAAAGATTAGTGAACATGAAGACATAGAAATACATCCACTGCCATTGAGTCAATTCCAACTCATAGCAACCCTGTAGACAGAGCTGAGACTGTAAATCTTTGAGAACAGACAACTTCATCTTTCTCCCTCATAGTAGCTGGTGGGTTTGAACTACCAGATTTGCAGCTAGTAAACCAATGCTTAACCCACCACACCATCAGGCCTCGTTTAGAAATATAAACCATCTAAAATGAAACAGAAAAAAAAGACAAAAGAAATAGGAGATTAAATAAACAAAAGAGCATATACAGATGACAATAAGAGAAAGCACATCAGTGATTACCTAGGGGCAGTGGAACAAGAGCAGAGAGAACCGGAACAAAGTACAAGGGAATATGAGGCAACTTTTGGGTAATGAGTATGTTCATTACCTTAAGTATGATGATGGTTTCACTAGTTCATACATACATCATGGGTCTTTGGTAGTACAGTGGGTAAGCACTCAGCTGCTAAACGAAAAGGTCAGCAGTTCAAACCTACTAGCCACTCTACAGGAGAATGATGTAACAATATACTTAGATAAAGATTTACAGCCTTGGAAACTCTATGGGGCAGTTCTACCCTGTCCTATCTGGTTGCTGAGTAACAGAATCGACTCAACAGCAATAGGTTTATATATGTCAAAAATCATCACATTGTATTCTCTAAATACAGTTTATGATATGTCAGGAGTCCCTGGGTGGTGCAAGTGACACTAATCAAAAAAAAAAGGTTGATTGCTAATCAAAAGGTTGTGTGTCGAGTCCACCCCAAGGAGCCTCCAAAAAAATGTCTGGCGATCTACTTGGAAAAATCAGCCACTGAAAACCTGTGTAGACCAGAGTTCTATCTGGACACACATGCAGTCACTGGAAGTTGGAATCTGCTCACTGGCAACTGATTTGGCTTTTTGGTTTATTAGATGTCAAGCATACCTTAATTAAGTTGTTAAAATATGTTTCAATGCACTTTTATGATATTTTACATAAGAGAATATTTATGAAAGGGTATAAAAACACAAGACGAAGTCATTAGTACATGTGTGCCCCTGGGTTGTTAATACATACTGCATAAGTATTAGTCCAGTGTTTTACTAATTCCTGGGATCGGAGATGCATTTCTTTCTTTGCCTTTCTTTCTGCACGAAGGCATGCTGCTTCTCTTGTCAAACCGTCAAGGCTATCTTGAATCCTCTTCCACTCGCCGTGTGGAATGATGGTGACCTGACGGAGGTCTACCGTGCCAGGCAGAAGAGGTGGATAGAGAACCTGGTCTTCCTCAGAGTTCTGTGTTTCTAATAAATTAAAAAAAAAAAAAAATTTAAAAATTTAAAGAAATGTTTGGTCATCTATTTATATATAAGTTGTTGTTACGTTCTTTTGAGTCAGTTCCAACTCATAATGACCTTATGCACAACAGAATGAAACACTGCCCTGTCCTGCGCCATCCTCACAATCGTTAAGCTTGCGTGTTTCAGTATTCAATATTCTTGTCTACCTGTGTTCCAGCAGTCCTGGTGTGGTGCCGTGGGCTAATGTGTCAGACTGTAAAGCTGTTTGAACTGCAAGGTTGGTAGTTCATGCTCACCAGCTGCTCCTTGGAAACCCTATACAGGGTTGCTATGGGTTGGAATCAACTCGAGGGCACTTAACAACACCACCTGTGTTCCACTGCTATTCATAAAGTTTTCAGTGGCTAAACATTCAGAAATAGTCCTCCTCTCCTTCTTCCTAGTCTGTCTTGGACTGGAAGCTCAGCTGAAACTTGTATACCATGCTGGTATTTTAAAATACTAGTGGCATACCTTTCAGCATCACAGCAACATGCAAGTCACCATGTCTGACAAACTGACAGATGAGTGGTGGATGTGTGTGTGTGTGTATATATACATATATATATTCTCTGTACTCTATTAGAGGTCACCACGTGTAATTAGAACTTTGGAAATTGATCACAGTAGCTATGATTTCCCTCACTCAGGTGTTCTCTTTTTTAGTCTTTTTGCGCCTGTTTAAGACTTAATAAAGAATCTCTCTATTTACATATTTGAAGATGGGGGTCTCTTTTCTCCCCCGTTATTGCTGTTCTTAAGTGCCACCGAGTTGATTATGACTCATAGTGACCCTGTATAGGGTTTCCTACAACAGATCTGTAACAATTGCCTCAACAAGCTGTGATAAAAACATTTTTCAAAGTTAACCAAGTGGTTGTTGTTGTTAAGTGCTGTCAAGCCAATTCTGACCCATAGCGACCCTGTATAGGGTTTCCAAAGAGCAGTCTGATGCATTAGCCCACGCACCACACCAGGACTCCAGTGGACTGTAAAGGATAACTTAGGGGATCTTCATGTCCAACCCCTTCCCCACTGGGCAGCAGCAGTTTACGAATACTTGCATTTCTCTGGCCAGCAGTTCTACAGTGGGCAAAGAAAGGTACTGAAGACATGTGAGATTTTGAGAAAAGCACTTCTCTGTTCTTCTGGGAGAGTGACTCTCAAGCTAGGAACCTACAAGGAGGCATGAAGGTCAGATAAGCATTAATCTGAAAACCACCAGAGGAACAAGCCTCAGGATGAAGTTGTTACTGTAAACTACAAAGAAGCAGTATGGCAAGAACCTGGGCCAATAATGATCCCAGTGAGCTCTAGACCAACCCAAACTAAAGAATGGAATTCCTATCCCACTCTAGTGGATGTGAAGTGTATTTTACTGTGGTTTTGAGTTGCATTTTCCCAGTTTTCTGTATTCCTTTAAGACAGACATGATTTACTAGAGTGATGAAACTTACTATCTACTGTCCTAATCACTTAGTCTGGAGCCCTGCTGGTGCTGTAGGATAAGCACTGAACTGCTAAATACAAGGTTGGCAGTTCAAACCCACTAGTTGCTACACAGGAGAAAGATGAGGCTTTCTGCTTCTGTAAAGATTTAAAGTCTTGAAAACCTGTACAGTCTTGCTATGAGTCAGAACCTACTCCATAGCACCTATTAACAACAATGACTAATGATGTTGAGCATCCCTTCATGTGCTTATTGGCCATTTATATATTCTTCCAAGAAATGTCTACTTAAGTTCTTTACTCATGTTTTAATTAGGTATTTTAATGATATCCTTCTCTGAGAACTGGTCCCTTCTAATAATATGTCCGAAGTATGAGAGATGAAGTCTGGCCATCCTGGCTTCTAATGAGCATTCTGGCTGTACTTCTTCAAACACAGATTGGTTGTTCTTTTGGCAGGCCGTGATACTATTAATATTCTTCCCCAACACCATAAATCAAATGCATCAATTCTTCAGCAGTCTTCCTTATTCACTGTCCAACTTTCACATGCATATGAGGTTATTGAAAATATCATGGGTTTAGTCAGGTGCACCTTAACAGCAACATTAATAATAACTGGACAGTGATGCCCTTAAATGTCTAGAGCCAATAAGTCTCCCAACCTTTGGTAAGGTGCTCTCTCTGTGTTGGAACACAGAGTGTTGGAACGCCTTCATTGCTTAGGAAGGCAGTTTACAACTCTGTTTTAGACTTTACTTCTTGCTGGTAAAGAACCTCAAGATCATCTAGAGATGAAAGCTTCAGGCCTTCTCAAGTCTTTTTTAGGCATGCACCCAGCCCTCTGTATGATTTTAGATTCTCAGGAGTATATTAGAGCTTTTCAAAGCTGTCTCTGGACATCTTACGTCCCAACCTTTCCTTTTACATTTTTTGATCAGCTTGTTGTTTGTCCCAACTGCTATCACTGCCTTGGGCAGCTATGAGATTAAACAATTTACACTGATTGTTTCTGAGATTAAACAATTTACACTGATTGTTTCTGACAAACACCATAGAGGTACTTTGGAAATGTAGCAGAGGGGAGTGGTTGACTTTGCAGTCCAGGAGCGGAGGTCCCTGGCACCATCAAGGGAGAAGAGCACAGTGTAGGACCCTACCCAGAGAAGCAGTGACACCAGAGATGGAGGCAGAGACAATGACATGGAGAGATGGAGCGGCTGGGGACTCTAGACCCAGAGAGGGAGAGGGGCTGTGTGCTGATGACCCAGGGGCAGGCTTGCAGGGTATACCCTTTCTTTGTTTGATGATGCATGGAGGGGATTGTAACCAAGGCAATGTAACAATATATGATAGGATGAATGTAAAGCTAATGTTCTCCCATGTAAACTATCAACTATCACATAATTCACAATTAAAAATTTTTTTAAAAAAAGAGCTAAAAAAAAAACCCCTGAGACTTCCAGTTTGGGGGTGGGTAAGCAGAAACAGATACCGAAAGCTACTCTGCTAAACCCCCCCACCCCCGCCAAAAAAAAGAAAAAAAAAGCAGAGAAAGCGGTCCTCAGAACAGCTGTGGAGCTTTGGATTTTGTTTAATGTTCCAGGCGCTAGCCAGTTTCCTGTGCCCACCTGTGAAGAAGTCTGTCTGTGGAAGCAAAATGTAGTGATTTCTGAATCGATCCAGCCACGGTGGCCAGCAGCCAGAAGTCCTCAGGCCAGAGGGCGGGGCCACAGCCAAGCAAAGGCAGTAACCCAGTGCTTGATGGTGCGGAGCTGCGAGTCTGGAGCAAGAGGTGTGACCGATTTTTCATCTTTCACTTTTTATTTTTCACTTTTTATTTTTCACGTATCTTTCCTCTTTCTCTTCACTCCAATCGCACCCTCACTGCCCAGCCCAGATGCCTTAAGGAGCATACCCCCCAAAAGGGTCCAACATGGCACCCACAGTTTTCCCACGGCACGGAGAGGAAACCCGCAGGCTACCTCTTAAAGACGTCTAACTCTGGGACCTAGCCCCAAAGTTGAGTGGGCGGGACCTTTTAGTCCTGCCTGCACAGCAAAGACCAGTGGACTGTGTCAATAACAATTTTATTTTTGGTTTTGATTGGTGGTTTCTGTCTCTGCTTTTATAACGTTTTGGTCTTTGGTCCTTTTAGCCTTACTCTTCTCCCAGGGGTTGGAGCTTTCAGCCCCTACCTTGCCCAAGAAGAGACAGCAACTGTGCCCATATAGCCAAGCTACAAGCATACCCTGTAATAACCCCCCCATCTGGACAAGAGCCAAAACCAGCTGCTAGGCATTACACGTGAAAAGGGAAGCGTATCTCCAAATAATATCAACCAGGAGACGCTAAGCAAGCTTAACAACTAAGCACCATACATCCATTTAAGCATTAAAAACCTACATTATTGCTGAAAATGTCTAAGAAAACACAAAGATCTCAACACATGTCCAAAAACATTCAACCCAACAACAGCACATTACACATTCTTTTCCAGTGCACATGGAACATCTTCCAGAACTGACCATGTGTTAGGTCACAAAGCAAGCCTCTATAAATTCACAAACATCAAAATACTACAAAGCATCTTTTCAGACCACAATGCTATAAAATTAGAAATCAACAATAAGAAGACCAAGAAAATAAACTTTAATACCTGGAAACTGAATAACACCCTACTGAAGAGCAACTGGATAATAGAAGAAATTGAATGTGAATTCAGAAAGATCCTAGAAACAAAGGAGAACAAAAACACAATATACCAAAATCTGAGAGGGCCATTTATTGCAATAAATGCGCACGTCCAAAAAGAAGAAAGAATCAAAATTAATACATTAAAACAGCATCTCTAGCAACTAGAAACAGACCAACAGAGAGAACCGACAGTCACCAAGAGAAAAGAAATAATAAAGATCAGAGCAGAAATAAATGAGATAGAAAACAGAAAAACTATAGAAACAATCAACAGGACAAAGGCTGGTTCTTTGAAAGGATTAATAAAACTGACAAACCATTGGCAAACTTAACAAAAGAAAAGAGGGAGAAGACACAAATAACACGCATGAGAAATCACAGGGGCGATGTCACAATGGAACCAAATAAAATCAAAAGGATAACAATACTATGAAGAGTTGTACTTCAACAAACTTGAAAACTTAGAAGAGATGGATACATTTTTAGAAAAACGCACACTCCTAAACTCACAGGAGTTAAGTAGAAGATTTGAACAGACCCATAACAATAGAAGAAATTGATCAGGTCATCAAAAAATTCCCAACCAAAAGAAGTCCAGGTCCAGATGGCTTCACTGGTGAGTTCTACCAGACATTCAGGGAAGAGTTGTCACCAATTCTACTCAAATTATTCCAGAATATAGAGGAGGATGGAAAACTTCTAAAACATTTTATGAAGCAAGCATAACCCTCATACCAAAACCAGGGAAGGACATCACTAAGAAAGAAAATTATAGATCAATATAAGGAGCTCTGATAGCATAGTGGTTACGAATCGGGCTGCTAATCTCAAGGTCAGCAGTTCGAAACTACCAGCTGTTCTGCAGGAGAAAGATGGGGCTTTCTGCTCACGTAAAGATGTACAGCCTCGGAAACCCTATGCAGGCACTTAACAACAACAACAAATATATGATGTGGGAGCACGGTGCCTCTGTAGGATAAATACTGAATTGTTAACCACAGGATCGGCGGTTCGAGGCCACCAGTCGCTCTTCAGGAGACCGATGAGGCTTTCTGCCTTATAGTTCTAGTTTTCATCATGGTAACGATATTAATTGGGAATCTGCAGCAGGCCATCCGAATTACAAGACTTTAAGTAGCATTTTCTTTTTACACTCTCTCAAAGCACTTGATTTAGGGCGAGACCCTTACTCTACTTTGTTGTTGTTTCCTAAGAGCGGCCAGTGGGTTTGAGCTGCTGACCTTGCCATTAGCAGTCCAATGATAGGAGCTCCACTTTAGAGGTGAGAAAACAGGCATTTCCTTCAGTGACATACCTAAAAGCATTCAGCAGGTTTACAAAAGAGCCAAGACTAGAGTCACTGATAATTCTAAATGTTACTTCATTCATTTATAGAATAACTAATAAAAGTGAGCAGGAATTCAGCAAACCCCAGACTCTCCAAGTTGAAATGGCGCGGCTTGAGGATCAGAAGGGGCATCAATCAGTTGGGAGGTATCTGTCTTCCTACCCCCTCTCAACTCCTATTTTCTGTAAACTTTCTCTCTCGTCCCCTCCCCGCACCTTCCTTTTAGGTCTTCCACTCAGGCATCTGAGAGCCAATCCTTTTAATTACACAGAGCCCAAGGATGCCCGTCGGGGCTACTTTCGACATGGTAAAAGAAGTCCTCGTCAGAAGGCAACTAAGACCCCAACTTGGCACCCTCGCTTCTCACCCCTTGCCAGGGGTCCTGAAAGAATCTTTTTGCCGGGATGAACCTGTTTCTCTCACCCGTGCTTTCCTTAGCCTGTCCACAGCGCCGCCCAAACCTCACCAACATCTCAGGTGAGATGCCCTGGACGCTACCAAACTTGGAAAAGATACCGATACTCCTACGCAGGCGGCCTTGAGTCAGCGGAGTAGTTCCCAAACCGCGCGGTCCCTTAGCAACGACGCCGGAAGTGACGTCAACCGTCGCCAGGGAACGAGGAACGCAGCGATGTTTGGGCTGTGGGCCAGCGAACGAAAACTGCGCCTGCGCTGAACCCCTGTCTGTGAGTGGGACGGCTTTCTAAGGTCGGAGGCCTGCACCCGAAGGAGCCCTAAAGCTCGAACCCAAGAAAGCGGTGCGAGTGACTGGACGGCTGCCAGCGCCAGGCCTGGTTCAAGTGAGGAGTTCAGCCCGCCTGCTGCTCCCATCCCTATTGGCACTGCGTTTCACAGGGGGCGACCCCTGGTCAGGGCCTCGCTCCCGCCTACGGGACGGACCAGGTAGGTGTGTGACAGAGCGAGGCCTCGGCTCGGTGTGTTTCCGCTCACTGACCTCGTGGGTAGAATGTGAAGCACAGCGCCCTCTTTAAACTATAGAAACCCAAAGGTTAATTGACATAAAATCTATTTATAGAAATCCTTTGGCATCTGAGGCATGGTCAGGGCTAGATAGGAATAACTTTAAAAAAAAAATATTAGAACTTGGATGTTGTTCGCAGAAAATTCTTGTTAGGACCTTTAATATATTTTAAATGGTTCATAAATTGTTGTTATTTAAGTGTTTTCAAGTCAGATCTGAATCATCCGATCCCGTAAAAGGTTTCCGAGGCTTTTAAAATCTTTGCAGGAATAAAAAGTCTCATCTTTCTCCCATGAAACAGCTGGTCTGCTCAAACTGTCTACCCTGTGGTTCGCAGTCCAGTGCTTATCCTATAGAGCTTCTGTGCACTCCACTTGACATGTTGTTAAGTGCCGTTAAGTCGATTCCCACCCATAGCGACCCTGTGTAGGGTTTCCAAGCAGCAGCTGGTGAGCTTGAACCACTGACCTTGCAGTTCAAAAGGCTTTGCAGTCTGACCCTTTTGCCCACAGCACCACACCAGTAGATTATGCTAAATTGAAAAAATGGGTTTTGGGGGCCAGTCAGAATTCTTAGAACACAAAAAACCTGGTAAGAATGAATGAGAGATTGGTTTCAAAAGATTCTTTCTATCACATTTTATGTGTAAATGTGGTTCCATTAAAAACTACTTGGATTCAACGCATACACATTAAGCACCAAATTGAATCACTCAAAACGAAAGGGAGTCCTGGTGTGGCTCTGCAGGTTAATGCGCTGGACTGTGCATTTGGACCCACAAGGTCTGTGGTTCAAGCGCACCAGTCGCTCCTCGGAAACCCTATCTAGGGTTGGTATGAGTCAGAATCGACTCGACTGCACTTAACAACAACAACAAGGTTTTTAATAACTAAAATTGTATCATATAGTTGTCCTATTTTTCCTTAGGTTTTCTATAAGATGCCCTGCTATAATGATGCTAGTAAGTGTGAAAGGGTTAATAAACTACCAGTATACAGAAAGTAAGGAACTCTGGTAGCGTAGTGGTTACGAATCGGGCTGCTAACCTCAGGGTCGGCAGTTCGAAACTACCAGCTGTTCTGCGAAAGAAAGATGAGGCTTTCTGCTCCTGTAAAGATGTACAGCCTTGAAAACCCTGTGCAGGGTTGCTATGAGTCGGCACCAACTCCACAGCACATAACAACAACTAGACAAAGTATTTTGTGTGTATATAACACTGGTGCAGTTTTAGAAGCATCAGGAAATAGCAAGGGTGAAAAACTTTACCTTTCTTGGAGGTTAATAGGTTTCATAGATGCTGTCAGTAGACACAAGATTCCTGGGTCACAGAGGAATTACCCATGACAGAAGCAGTTGCCAGAGTATCAGCAATTTTGTGCCAATGCCCAAGTCCCAGTTCCCACAGGGTGACGCCTAGAGGGCAACATGTAATCTGCATCTCTGCTTCCTACAGGCAAAGAACCCTTAGTTTAGGGACTTGAATCTTTATTATAATAAACAGTAATTACACCTTTCAAGGCTGTTCACTATGCAAACATCTTTGGGTTAATAGTTGAGGACAAAGGGCAGTCAATTCCTTGTTTATAAGACATGCAGAACCATGAGAGACCCATGAAGAATTGTCTCCCAACAAAAACTTTGAAGTTTTATGATTATGAAAAAAAAGTTTTGACTCTCTAAGATCCTAAGCTTTGATGCTAATTTTTTGCCTTTTGCATGATGGCCAGGTGTCATTTGACTTTGAAGGTCAGTTCTAACTCTTACTATAAAGATCCTCGCAGCCAAATTTATCTAGTTAGCTATTTGTTTCTCTGTACCTTCCTATTCTTCATTGTTGTTGTGAATTTAAGATGATAGAATATGCACATCTGATACAATTAAATTATTCTTGGGAAAAATGTTATTATAAAATCAGCATAGAAAAAATATAACTTCAAATTGAGCCATTCATAATCCTACAATAAATAGTACACACACCCATTTTTAAAAAAACAAAAATAAGATTAAACTGTATAATCTGTTATATAGAATTCTTGATTTAAAACTGAGCATTTTAACATTTACTGACTGTATTATATGACTTTAGCATACATACTTTTATTTGCCCAATGCCTAATTCTTAGGTATCTAGACTTTAAGACTATAGAAACATTCCTGGTGTGGCACTGTGGGCTAATGCATCAGACTGCAAAGTCATTTGAACTTCAAGGTTGGTGGTTCAAGTTCACCAGCTTCTTGGAAACCTTATGCAGGTTGGCTATGGGTAGGAATCGACTCGATGGCACGTAACAAGAACAACAACATAGACGCATTCAGACATAACAAATTTATAATGTCCATGCTTTTGGAGACAATAACTGTTTTTGGAATTTTAATGAATTGGTTACAAAAGTAGATTTGCATCTTTATAGCAGTGTTTGTGCACATTCTTAATATGGCGTTTTTTAAATTCAAGTACAGAATTAAATCACTGAATGTGTATTAATAGAATGTGATAGTTTGCATTTTTTAAAAATTATTCGTTGTTGTTGAAAATATACACAGCAATACACCCATGCAACAATTTCTACATGACTTTCAGTGATGCTGATTACATTTTTCAGTTGTGCAACTATTCTTACCCTTTTTTCTGAATAGTTCCTCCACCATTAGCATAAACTCCCTTGAGCTTCCTAGCTAATCTCTTGAGTTGTTGTCAGTTTAACCCCACGTAGACAATCCTTTAGAAGAACACAATGCTCAAGGTGGACATTCTTTACTAATTAAGCTAAGCTATTTTTGGTTTAATGAAGATTTAAAGGGATATTTTTGGTTAGTTTTAAAGTTTAAAGATTATCTCAAGACAGTAGTTTCAGGGGATCATCTAGCCTTGCTGACTCCAGAGTCTAGACTCCATGAATAGTCAAAATTTTGTTCAGTATTTTCCCCTCTTTTGATCAGCATTCTTATATAGACTCTTTGATCAAAATATTCAGAAATGGTAAATGGGCATCATCCAGTTTTGACTTCATGGCAAAGTAGACAGTTATTCATGGGGGCAGTTGACCATGTATTCCATTTCTTCTTTCAATTCTTAACTCTCCTTATTCCTCTGTTGTTCCAAGTGAATAGAGACCAATTGTATTTGGATGACTGCTTGCCAACTTTTAATACCCCTGGCAGCAGTATTCATTATTTAGCAAGTAAAAAGCAAAAATGAAATCTAGAAGTCTCAACATGATCAGCTTAACACTTGTAATAGGAGATTTTGCCCATTGGTTAAGAACTTGTTTTCACATAACATTATCTGTTTTGTAATTATTTAATGTTTTTTGTTTAACCAAAATTTTGTTGTCTACATTGCCAATAGATGTTTTTCTGACGTAAGATGAAAGTAAAAAGTAATAGCAAAATAAAAATTTTAAATACTTTCATTTTAGGAGTCAAGAAGTTTCTATTCCTTTTCTCCAAATCTGAATACTTTGTTTCCTGCATATAAAGGATGAGATGTGTAGCTTAGAAGCTGCAGGCTGATGTTTGAAACTGAAGACTGTTATGATTATCCAACCTAAGTCCTATACTAAAATAAAATACGATTGTCTTAAAAACACTAATTTGGGTAAGTATTTTTCATAAAGGTTTATTTGTTTATTTGTACAAAAATTAACACTTTCATACTTGAAAAATAAAAATGTTGACGCTTAAGAAAAGACTAAGAAAAAAATCTGAAATTAGAAAAGTACAAAGCAGTAGAACAATATTAAGATGTATGCATCCTCCTGTTTTGGGTTAATAGTTCAGAAATTTCAGTAGTTAAGTAAACCTAGGCTTGACCAACAATGAGTTACATGTAAACTTTTAATTTGTCAATTATTTACAATCAGAATGCTCAAAATGCATGTTTAATTCAAAATATACCAAATGTGATTTTCAACTATGTCTTATTATTGCTTATTACATTACTTCTATGAGCAAATGAATTCTAACTTTAAATCCATGGAATTAAATGATAATGAAAATTTTCCATGAACCTTTTCAAGCACCCTCCTTTATACATGTGGTTGAATGCCATGTTTTCTTTCTTTTTTTTAATGTAGTAAAATATATATAACAACAATGACAAAAAGCCATTTTAGCCATTTTTAAGTATATAACTCAGTGGCATTAATTATGTTCATAATGATGTGCAACCATTATTGCTATTTCTAAAATTTTTTAATCATCCTACATAGAAATGCAATGCCAGTTAAGCGGTAACTCCCCATTTCTACTTATCTCAAGCCCCTGGAAACCACCAATAAACTGCTGTCTTTACGCATTAGCCTATTCTAGGTATTTCATATAAATGGGATCATACAATTTTTGTGTTTGATTTACTTCACTTAGCCTAATATTTCAAGGCTCATCCATGTTGTAGCATGTATCAGAACTTCAGTTCTTTTTTGACTTCATTTTCTTATGGCTTCATTTCTATAATGTTCCATGGTATGGCTGTTGCACATATTAGTTAGCCATTCATCTGTTGATGAACACTTGGGTTTGTTTCTACATTTTGACTATTGTGAATAATAATGTAATGAGAATTGATGTACAAGCATTTGTCTTGACTTCCTGCTTTCAAGTTTTGGGGGTGTATCCCTAGGAGTGCGATAAATTCAGACAGTAAGTACTTGACTGCGAGTCCTAAGATCTGCGGTTTGAACCTGCCATCTGCTCCGCAGGAAAAAGATGAGACTTCGTGCAAACATTAAGATTTAAAGCCTTGGAAACCCGAAACAGGGTCACTGTGAGTCGGAATTGACTTGATGGCACATCACAACAACAACAGTAACAATAACAACAACCTAGGCATATAAGTGCTAAGCCTGTATGGTAATGTTATGTTTAACTTTTTGAGGAACTGCCGAACTGTTTTTGGCCATGGTGGTACCATTTTAGAGTCCAGCAGCAGTGCATGATGGCTCCAGTTTCACTATACCACCACTTGTTGTTTTCCGCATTTCTGATAATAGCCATCTTCGTGGGTATGAAGTTGCATCTCACTATAGTTTTGATTTGCATTTTCTTAATTATTTTCAGCATCTTTTGTGTGCTTATTGCCATTTATACATTTTTTTTTAGAGATAGGTCTTCTAATGTAAACATATTTAAGTAACTCACATCATAAGCAGTGTGATCACTCAGGTATAACTGACTCAGCATTTAGGGCTAAACATAAAATCTGAAAGAATTGAATGGATCTTTAGTTCAAGTAATTTGATTAGAATTTCATAATTTTTTTCAAGGATTCTTTTAGTTGTAACATTTCATATGGTATTAGCATTTATAAATTATTTTCAAGTTAAACATCTTTTTTTTTACTTATTTATTGTGGTGTGGGTGAAAACAGAGCATGACAGTTTTTCGTTCAACAAGTTATACAGTTTGTTTTGTAACATTAGTGCAACCCCCTCAATGTAATAGCACTTGCCAGTTCCCTCTGGATTCCCTGTTTACATTTGTCTTCCTTCCTGCCTCTTCTTGCCTTCTGAGTTCTGCCTTGGGGAAAATTCTGTCCCTTTGGTCTTTCTGTTTTGTTTTAAAGTTTTTATTGTGAATTGAGTGAGTGAAGGTTTACAGGGTAGCTCATGAGTTTTACATTCAACAAATCATTGCAATGATTACAATCCCCTCCATGAACCTTCAGCTAATGGTATTTACCTCTATTACCTTTTTTGTTGTTTTTGATGTACATATACCACATTGAAGAGTCCTGGTGTGGTACTATGGGTTAATGAGCTGGACTGCAAAGTCGGTTTGAACCAGAAGATCGGCAGTTCAAGCTCACCAGCTGCTCCTTGGGAACCATATACAGGGTTGGTATAGGTCAGAACAGAGTCGAAGGCACTTAATAACAGTGTACCATATTGGAAATACATATTCACAATAAAACTTAAAAAGAAAATATATATTCATCTAAATGTCCAAAGGGCACATTTTCCAAGCCAGCCTCCTGCCCACAAGCACACTGCCTTTCTCAGTCCATGGGCCTCAGTACTTTGCTGCTTTGTCTTTTTATGCCATTGCCTCTGCTGCCCTCTCTGTTGTCGCTGCTTTTCTGGTTAGGGTCCCTCATACCACTCATGCTCTTCCCTCTTGATGGTCCTAGGGTCCTCTGCAAGTTAAAGATCTTTTCAAAAATTATATTTGAAACATTTCATTTAATATTTTTGGTTAGAGTTTTTGGTTAGTATACAGATAATTTATATTACACATGACCTGTTATTTAACATGAGAATTATTATAAATATTTTTAACTGGTAAATATGATTGTGATGGGTGCTTTAAAGATAAATAAGACTATAAGTGAATAGATAAGTATGTTTAGTTACTTTTTTCTCTGGATAGTTATATAGTTTCATTTACAGTACTGAGGCATCCCCAAAATAATACTATGAGTGTCCTTTTTAGATACTATTTCCCATTCACTTATAATACTCAAATATAAATTTTGCTTCATAGTAGTCACATGTTTTTAAGTGACATTAAGTCAGTTCTGACTCAGCAACCCTGTATAGGGTTTCCAAGGAGTGTCTGGTGGGCTTAAACCGCCGACCTTGCAGTTCAAACCATCATGGTGGTGGTGTTGGTTATGTGCCGTGGAGTTGGTTCTAACGCATAACAACCCTGCACAGGGTTTCTGAGGCTGTATATCTTTACAGGAGCAGAAATCCTCATTTTTCTCCTGCAGAACAGCTGGTAGTTTTAAACTGCCGTCCCTGACGTTATCAGCCCGATTCATAACCACTACACTACCAGAGCTCCTTTCAAACCATCTAGTGGATGCATAATTATCCTACAGTGCCATGCCAGGACGCCTAGTACTTAAATGTTGTTGAGTGCTTACAAGTCTGTTCCAACCCATATCCACCCTGTATAGAGTTTCCAACAAGCAACTGGTGAGCTTGAATGACCAACCTTGCAGTTTAAAATGATCTTGCAGTCCAGCGCATTAACCCACACCAGGACTCTACAGTATGTATATGTTGTTGTTAAGTACAGTCGAGTCAGTTCCGACCCATAGCAACCCTGTATAGGGTTTCTGAGGAGCGGCTGGTGAGCTTGAACTGCTGACCATGCGGTTCAAACCAACTTTGCAGCCCAGTGCAATAACCCATAGCACCACACCAGGACTCCGCAGTACTTATATAGTGGTATTAAAATGTTTAGTTATTTAAACTTGTGTTTATGCATCCTTTGTCTCAGTAGATGGTTTATTATTTGTTAAATAAGTATAGAAACTGAATGTGTGAAACAGTTTGTTTAGGAAATAATCTTTTTTTTTTTTTTCAGGGTAATTTGCATCTGTTTCTGGAACCATGAAAATTTTGCTGGTTTTTGACTTTGACAATACAGTCTTAGATGACAACAGTGACACCCGGATTGTCCAGTGTGCTCCAGAGAAAAAGCTTCCGATTGAGCTGCAAGATTCTTACCAGAAAGGCTTTTGGACAGAATTTATGGGTAGAGTCTTTAGGTATTTGGGAGACAAAGGTGTCCGAGAAGATGACATGAAAAGAGTAGTGACATCAATGCCCTTCACTCCAGGAATGGTGGAACTTTTAAACTTTGTCAGAAAGAATCGGGATCGATTTGATTGTATCATTATTTCAGATTCAAATTCAGTCTTTATAGATTGGGTTTTAAAAGCTGCCAATTTTCACGATGTGTTTGATAAAGTGTTTACAAATCCAGCAGCCTTCGATCACAATGGTCATCTCACTGTGGAAAATTACCACACTCATTCTTGTACTCGGTGCCCAAAGAATCTCTGCAAAAAGGTGGTTCTGGTAGAGTTTGTAGATAGTCAGCTACAACAGGGAGTGAATTATACACAGGTTGTTTATATAGGTGACGGCGGGAATGATTTCTGTCCAGTGACTTTTTTAAAGAAGAATGATGTTGCCATGGCACGGAAGGGATATACCTTGCAGAAAACCCTCTCCAGAATGCCTCAGACTCATGGTCCTGTGGAATCCTCTGTGTTAGTTTGGTCTTCAGGTGTTGAAATAATTTCTCATTTGCAGTTTCTAATAAAAGTATAATATCCCAACCACTGATGTGTATCAGCTGCATGCAACTAAAACCCCAAAAACCAGTGACTTTTTTTTTTTTTGGTTTTGGCCAAACTCTTTGTGTTTGGATAAGCACTGGACTGCTACAGGATAAGCACTAGACTGCGAACCACAAGCTCGTCTGTGCAAACCCACCAGCTCCTCCTCGGAAACCCTGTACAGGGTCACTGTGAGTCGGAACAACAAAGTTAACACACACTTACGTGGTCTTAATGGGGTCGGGGAAAAGGGGAGGCTCTTGCAGACTCCCAAGGAAATGTGAGAAAGGCTATATATGGCCAGAGTTATCCTTTTATTTTGGGTTTACTGTGTGAATAGCACTTCCTTACTTAAACATTGATCTCAGAGAACACTGAGATTTCAGATTGAAGACACCCTGAAATCTATGAGTAGCAAGCCCAACCACCCTTCTCATATCTATCTAGCTTGTTTATATAGGCAGAATGAGTCATCTCCCCATTTTAGACGGTTAGATGTTTGTGGAAAATCTTAGTATTGCTTGCCTCATTTACTGGGAAGAATTAAGTAGAAAGTGGCCTTCAGGGACACTTAAGAGAATTACAACACTAGTACACAAGTCAAGTCTTACACATTTAACATTTGCTTATTGAAAGCAGTGTCATAAAATCAAACAAAATTAAACAGATTTTGCTTTTGCCTCACAAGAAACATAAAAATTATGAAGAAATACTTAACAAGAAATTTTTTAAAAGTAACACAACTTTTCCTATTAAGAGTCCTTGGGTGGTTATGACAGAATAGGTTCCACTTTTTGTTTGTTTCCTTGAACAGGGATTTTGATCCAAAGTTTTGTTTGTTTGTAGTCTCTGCTTCTGCCTCCTCTGCTATCAGATTGGCTTCCTCCATGGCCACCACCTCTTGGTGCTCCGCGGCTTGAACTGCTGCAGGAATCACATGGAGGAGGGTGATACCTTACCATAGATGGGTGAAGCCCTCTTATCTGCCTACCTGATTACGACCACTTGAGTAGAGATCACTTTGGCTGCTTGAGTAACTGTCACAACTTCCACCATATCCATCTCGTGAGCTGCTATAATCATCATAGTGACTGCTTCCACCATAAGATGGTGGGGGCCCTCTTGTAGGTGGAGCACTACGTGAGTTACCATAGCTCTCATAGGAATCTCTGTAGGAGCCTCCACTTGCATGGTCTGAATAGTCACGATCATGACCATAGCCGTCTCTATCACTATAGCCTCTGGATGAATAGTCATGTGAGCTGAAATGACCATAATCACGATATGTATAATCTCTTGGTGGTGGTACATAATCTCTTGAATCTTGAGAATTTGGGTATTCGCTGCTTGAATAGCTGTCTTTAGTGGAATAGCCATATCTCTTGGTGACAGGTACACATGTCTACAAGACGGCAAGGGTTCCCTTCTTGGTAGTCCTCCATAACTATCTCTTCCACGTGATAGAGGGGCTCTGCCTCCCATTCCACTGCTACTGTGGACTGGTCCTGAAAGGACTGATCTTTTAGGAGGGGGACCACTACTTTGTGGTGAAGGTTGGAAGTAGTCCCCTGGAAGAACTCATGTTAAAATTCATGGAATAGCCACCATCCATGTGTCCCCCATGTGAAGGGGGTCACCTGGGTCCTCCAGTGCCTACTCTTCCACCTTTAAGGCCTTTAGGTGGGCCTCTGCTTCTTGAAGGTGGTGGGGGTCCACGCCTGCCACTTTCAGATGTTGGTTGACTTGTTCCATCTTGATAGCTTTTCCATCCAAAGACTTTCCATTCAAATCTCTGGCCACATCTTTGGCATCTGCTGGGCTTTCAAATACCACTTTTTTAACAAAAAAGATTTTTTTCTCTCACTTAAAAGGTAAGTGTCCAGAGGTATATATCTAAAAGCTGGTGTGCTGCTCTTCCAACCTCAGCGCTTGGCTTCCAACTCTGAAAACAAGCTATTCTGGCGAGGATGTGCAGAGACAAGGACCCTCCTATTTTGCTAATGGGACTGTAAAATGGTGCAACCAGTGTTGAAAAATGGTATGGTGATTTCTCAAAAAGTTGGAAATAGAAATGTGTGACTCCCTCTACTTCGTATATATCTTTAAGAAATAAGAGCTGTAACATGGATATATGTACACCCATGTTCACTATTCAAAATAGCAAAAGGATGGAGACAGACTAAATGCGGATCCACAGAAGAACGGTTAAAGCATCTTTGATACATACAATGAAATACTAAGCAATGTTGAAGAATAACTAATGATGAACCTGTGAAACATCTCATAATGTGGATAAACCCGGAGGACATTATGCTAAGTGAAAGTTATTGTTGTTAGGTGCCATCGAGTCAGTAGGGACTCATAGCGACCTTATGCACAGCAGAACCGATACTGGGCCATCGTCACTATCGTTGCCACGCTTTAGCCCATTGATGCTGCCACTTGTCCAATCCATCTTGCTAGGAGTCTTCCTTTTTTTCTCTGACCCTCCAACCTACCCAAACATGATATCCTTCTCCAGGGACTGGTCCCTCCTGACAATATGTCTGAAGTATGAGAGATGAAGTGTGGCCTTCCTGGCCTCCAAGGAGCATGCTGGCTCCACTTCTTCCAACACAGATCTGTTGGTTCTTTTGGCAGCCCATGGCACTTTCAATATTCTCCAATACCGTAACTCAATAGCATCAGTTCTACGGTCTTCCTTATTCACTGTCCAGCTTTTGCATGCATATGAGGTTATTGAAAATACCATGGCTTGGGTCAGGCGCACCTTAGTCC